AAACAGAGTAGACAAGACAGGCTTCATTACCAAGGTGGGATTGGCGCTCAGACTCGAGGGAGGTGGGAAAGGAGGGGCAAGGAAAGGGAGAAGGTGCTGAACTTGCAGAAGAAGAAAGTGGCAGGTCTGTATCACGAACCAAACTCACTGACATGTTGTCACAAAGAAAATGGGCCTGGTGGGGTACTGAGGAAAGAGGACACTTTTGTTGATTTTGTTAACAAAGCCAGGACAGATGTTTCCAGAACCATCTCTTAAAGTTAGAAATTAAAACTAAGTACTAGGCAGGCTCACTCTACTTTTTACTGCAGTAGGTTTCTGGAAACCACATTGGAAAAACACAACAGTAAAAAAAACAACCTTATTCCTCCCTCTCTTTGTCCAGCCTGTGTTCCCCACTCCTTTCCTCAAGGTCAGTGCCAGACTCTAGGAAAGCAGAGTGCCAACTGGATTTGCTTGGGGGCTGTGGAAACTCCAGAAGCAGAGTCTTAAATTAAAATGGTGATTGCTGGGAAGGGCAAGAAGAGAACCGAGATGCTCTCTGGCCTGAAGCAGGGTGGCAATGAAATGTGAGCTGGGGGAATGAAGACCAGAGTAGGTGTCAGGTGGGCCAGTACAGAGCCCGCCAGACTGAGGGCAGCAGCAGCCACTTTCTCTAAGTGCAGGGGTGGAATTGCGTGGCCTTCTCTAAGCTGGGAGTGACATGAGTGCTGGTGTTCCAAGGCCTAGATGACAGCAAGAGCTGTCAATAATGTGGTGAAATGGTGAAACAAGGCACAACAAGGAAAGCATTTCTGCATGGGCGGGACAGCACCGGGGATGTCAGGCCCTGGAAACAGTAACTCAAGGCTGCTCAGTAAGCCCACTGAGACTAAGGTGAAATCCTTTTCTTCTTTTCTTTTTTTTTAAAGGTGCTACTATTATGATTTATTTCCTTTATGTCTTTTTTAACTCTTTTAAAATTGTTATTTTAATTGTTGTTCAAGTACAGTTTTCTGCCTTTTACTCCCATCCCAGCCCACCCCCAGCCCTCCCCACCTCCCTCCATTTCCACCCCCCTTGTTTCCATCCACATGTCCTCCATACTTGTTCCTGCAAGCCCTTCCCCTTTTCCCCTGAAATTCCCTCCCTCTCCCCTCCAATCACTGTCAGCCCGCTCTCTATTTCAGTGTCTTTGGTTATATATTGCTTGTCCATTTGTTCTGTTGATTAGGTTCCTGTTAAAGGTGAGATCAAATGCAATCAGACATAATGAAAGGATCGTTCAAAGGCCAGGGGCAGAGTCTATGAAATATTCCAGGAGAAGATCCATTATGTGTTTCAAGAATCAACTTGAAATCCTTTGGTGCGCCTAAAATTAAGAATCAATAGGCCCTTTTAACTCGTATCTTTCAAAACATCATTGTCGAGTATACTAGCTCCAGTGTACTTCCAGACAGAGAGAGCCTGCCCTCTCCTAATTCTTCAGGAATGGTTCTGGTGCTCCCAGGGGAACATGATTCAGAATAAACTTGAGAGTCTAAGGCAGGAAATGGTCTGGACCATACCAATGCCATTTGGCAAAACCAAAAGCTCAGCCTGATTAAGGGCCTGCCTAGAATATTCGTCATTGGGCGTGCTGAGATTATTATATTTCAGACTCTGGGCTGTGACTCACTAGTGACCAGCTTGTCCTTAATCCCACCCCTTTGTATTACCTTCTTCAGAAAGTCTTCCCTGACCACTTACTCTGAGGAGTTCCCCCAATACACACACACACACTCTTCACTCTGTTGTATTGTCTTTACTGGACACTTACAATTAACTAAAATCTTATTTCTTTATTTTCTCTCCCTTTCCACCCACCCCACTAAAATATCAGCTCTATGAGTTCAGGGCCTGACTGTCTTATTCATTGTTATATCCTCAGTGTCCAGAACAGTGCTTGCCACTACCTAGGTGCTCAATAAATACTATGGCATTGAATTATAACTGCCCTGAGTAGCAGGGGCCAGCCCATGGCTATAGTTACTGTTGTTCATCCCCAAAGCTGGCGTTCCGTCCTGAGGACCTGGTACCACTCAGCCTGCACCAACTCAGCACAGGCTATGGCCCTGGTTCATAGATCTGGCTTGACCTCCTTAGTTCAGTGTCTCTGTATCTGTCAGCACCTGCTTTGCTGTCTGCCAACCTCAGTCTGGCTTCAGGTAAGCTCATTTGCACCAACTCTCCTTTAGGAAGAATTTTTTCAATCTACTTTAAGATACAGTTTTATGGATTTTAACACACTTCTAGATCCATGTAACCACCACCACAATCAGAAACCACCCCTACCCCGCAAAAAACTCCATCATGCTTTGGAGTTGCACCTTCCCTGCACTCGTCACCCTTGGCAATCAGCGATCTGCTCCGCATCACTTCAGTTCTGTTCATTAGAGACTGCCATCCATATAACTGGGCCCCTGGGTTTGAGGCTGGCTTCTTTTACTCAACATTATTCCATTGAGATTTGTCCCAGTTGTTGTATGGGTCAATAGTTTATTTCTTTATTTTTATTGCCGAGTATCATTTCCTTGTACAATACCATGGTGGTTTAGCCAATCACCTGTTGAAGGACACTTAGGGTGTTTCCACTTTGGAGTGATGATGAATAACAGGTACAAGGAAGCTTCTGGCAGCATGAGTTGGGGATGCATAATGCTGGAGGCCATCTGGGTGCCCATTCCCGACAGAGCATTTGGGGAAAATATGATCAATGAATGCCATGGGCCACAAGGCAGCAGAGATATGTACAGCATTTGCACATGATAAAACACATGTATACAAAACAGTAGTATAAATAACACATATAAAAACAAAAAGTACACATTAAGTATTATTGAGAAGGACAGAAACAATTGAGAGGGAGGACAGAAACAAAATAAAATTTGTTTTAATTTTTTTAGAATCAAAAAAACACAATTAAACACTATGTAAAAAGAGGCTGGAAGATTTTTCTGGGTTGTGGAGAAACTCTTAGCCAACCCGAAGGGGTCTCAGTGGCTGTTAGGTTTGTGCTGGAATACTGGATAATTTGTGCAATACTGTGTTATTTAGTGTAATATTTAGTTAGTTTATTTGGCCTCTTACCACCGAAAGGGGTCGCCAGTGGTCCAAAACCAGGGCCAGGTGCTCCCCGTTATGCTGTTTTCCGAGGCAGGCTTCTCATCAACATCCTTGTCTCATTCATGCCCTGGTTCTGTCTGTCTCTAGCTGGTGCTTCCTGCTTTCATCCTACTCGAGGTCTCTGAGAGCAGGAGAGGCTCTGATTGGTCACACGAACCTGTATCCAGTGTGATGCAGCCCTCTCAGAGAGAGTTCTCCAATCGGGCCACTGCACAAGCCACTAAACCTACAGAAGGCCTTTGGATCCCTGGCCCAGATGAATTATAGGATAAAAGTTAGGGGATTGGAAGATAAAGCATGACCTTTTTTTTGCATAGGAAACAAATTGATGATGTTTTCCTCAGGAGAGTGGAGTGTTGTGAATCTTTCTGGCACTTACTCTCTGACTGTGGTATGGAATGCACCCTGAACGAAGGAGGTATATTGTGAAAATCCAAGGATCATAGGAACTAAAATATAGACCTATAGACTAGTCACCCAAACATAGGCAGGTTGGGGACTGACCAGCTACGTAGCAGGAAGACAAGCACTGGGGTCAGTTCATCTCTAAGGAAAGCCCAGTCACTGCCCCTTCTAAATGCATACTTTAGGCGTGTTACACTACTAGCCCTCTCACAGGACGGTTGTGTCATAATGCATTCGAGTGATTATCATGGCGATGCATACAAAATAAGTGCTCAGTGTATTTTGGTTCCATTTCTTCCCCTCCTACCTGACACATATTCAAGTGTTCACGAAGCTCGCACAGCCTGTATGTGAGTGAGTGGAGGAGCTACAGGCATAGGCTGCTGTTTGCCTATAGCTTTTCCTCCAATATTTTGCATTAAAACAATTGCTTCTGAATGTATTAATTTCCTTCCCCTTTCTAAGAATTGTAGCTCACAGGTCAAAACTGGAGAGCAGAGTATGTGAGTCATTGAGTCAGAATAAGGGAGCATTAGCAGCAGAACTTCTATAATCCTTGTGCAGAAAAATGGACTGGCTCCCAAGTTATCGAAATGACCTTGATGAGTTTGCAGCAACACACCTGTGTCCCAAGCTGCATGCGTTTCCTACCCCGTGCTCCAGGCTGCTGTTCTAGTGCATCTGTTGCATGGAATCCAACCCTGCTTGACAATTTCTTTTCTTGTTTTCACAGTAATGGGAGCTAAAGTCTGGAAGGAATAAGACAGAGACCTTGGCCCTGCACAAGGCTGCCATGTGTGAGGGGGCTGGCGAAGGCCTGGGAAGTCACAGCAGGGGCCCTGTGAAGCCAAAGCTTTCACCAGGTAAAAGTCAGCAGAAAAATATTTCCATATAGTGTATTATAGAATACTCTCATCCACTCTATTTTATTGGACATTAATTGTATGTAAGATACATATACCTTAAAAAATGAATGAATGAATGTATGGACCAAATTAAAAGCAAAGGCTTTCATGTTAAAAGAAAAAGGGAATAAATGAACTACTCAAGAAAAAGATTGATGTGCCGTGTGCTGTTGAGGGGGGAAATAATAAGTCCTGCATTATTTAGACAAAGCGGAAATATAAGGCCAGAGTCTTAAAGTCTCAATCTATTCAAGCTTTCCAAGTTAAAAATTAATTCCCATTAATTTTGACATTGGTTGTTGTTTTCTGCTATTCAAATTTAACATCTGTGTTGGTTTTATACAGGGTCAGGAATTTGGTACAAAAATGAATACCGAAAGCCTATTTTAAAAGAAAAAAAGCAAAAAAAAAAAAGCCTAAAATGTAAAATGGCCAAATAAAATGCTTAAAATGCAACATTTTTATTCAAGCACTTAAAAATAGTAGTTGAAATGAATGGGTGCATTAGGCTATATTTGCTACAGCATAAAGTAAAACTTCACAACGAGAACGTAAAAGTGGTTTTTATTATTTTGGTAATGGTGTCTTCTTATAGGTAATTACTGATACAGAATTTTTAATTTGGTATATCAAATAGGAAAAGCTACATATTAATGCCATGTCCCCAAAATCCATTTCAGGTACAATTATGCATTATAGTCACTATGTACACATTAAAAGCATACATGATAAAATACAAAAATAAGGAAAGGTTAAATAAGAAGTTATCCTTGAATTATGAACATCTAATAAAGTATGCCTTTTTATCACACGTTAGTGTCCTAGATAAAACACACACGAATTAATATACAGGGTTTGGCACAAATAACGCCCCTAGTTATTCCTTCAAAGTCTTTTATTATGAAATCATCAGCATGTGATTCTGTAATATAACAATATCACACTCGAGCACATCATACAACATTTTAGGTGAAATATTCAAATTGCTGTCCATCTCATCTGAGACATTTACGTGCCCTACCAACCACATTCAATGGCATTACTTCTGCTGGACCCTGTATAATGCTATGCAACTATCTGATCTAATATAGATCTAATATGAAAATATTAAGGCTGTAATAACATTTCACAGGTAAAGGCTAAGTTCTGAGACATGAAGGCTTTTAGATAACATACAAAACAAACCTGAGACATCTTTTTGTTTTGGAAAAAAACAATCTTACACAGTCAAAGCTTTAATACATAAATGAAGAATTTAATAAATGATATACTTTATTGCAATCACCTGGCGTAGATGGTCTGACTAGAATGGTGACCAGCAAATGCATTCTTTCCCTGGCAGAAATAATAAAAGGTTTTCTGATTAAACCAGTAATGTGGTTACTATAGCCTCCAAATTTGGTTATTTTTATTTGTTTTTGGTTTTGCTTTTCTTCCTTTAACTAGGCTATAAACATATTAAAGAAGCCAGCTAACCTCCACATGCTCACCTATACACGCACATATTTTTTTCTATACACGCACAGCTTTCTCATTGCCAAAAGCACCAGATTAACTGAGCGCACATACACAAAAACTACATTAAAAACAGATTATAGCACATCTGGATCAGATGGAGTTAATGAGACATCCAGATTGGTAAATGGTTATGTATTTTGCAGTATATCATGCAGAGTTATTATCCAAATATTTTAGGGAAAAATAAGGATGTGAACTATACATGGATATAATAATGACATACCATGGGTACGATAATCCCATATATAATGGGCACAAAAACTTGGGTGCACATTATACACAGCAAAATACGGTACTCTGCTGCCCCACATCTCCCAGAATAAGTAAGCTAAGGCAGCCCTGCGGTGCTGTCTCAACCTTGCTGGAGGGGTGAGGGAAGTAGATAATAATACTTTGGAATTGCCAGTGCCAAAAACAATTTAAATGTATTGGTAAGCCTTATTTCTATAGCTGACTTTATAGTGCCTTTAAAAATACTGGCACAATTTTTCATATTCAAGAGGTACAGCTAGGAGATTTTATAATTATGTGAAATTTTTGCTAAGAAAATATTTCAAATTACAAAATAGATCTAAAATGTTGTGGATTTTTCCACAGTCCACTTGGGATTTAATATCAGCACACAAAACATCTTTTTTCTAAATATTCATATTTTAAATTAATTAACTTGGAATAAGTGGGGACATGTTTAACCATCTTTCTTCCTTTTTACTTTTTCACTCTCTTCTCTTAACAGCCCCTCTGCCTGCCCCCCGCCCCCGACATACACACAGCCACAATACACTCCTTCCTTGATAATTCTGGATAGGATTCAAAAGCTTAATTAAACAAGCTGTAAGCTTTTAGGCCACTGAACAACTTCCTTTGGACGTTTACATGCAATGAACGTTAAACCTTTAAACTTCGCTTGGTACTCTTGCAATCATCCATCATTTTCTTTAAGGTTTCCAGATTATTTCCATAAACTAAACGTATACATTTTTTCAAGCTTTATGTTTTCACAGTTACCAAAGCGACGGCTCGCTGGTCGCCATCTTAAACAGCTGGTTGGTCTGACCAGCTTCAGTGCCCGAACAGCCCCTGACCTTCTTCTGATTCTTACTTTCCAAAACACTGACAGCAATGCTGGGTTTTTAAAAAATCACTTAAAAGAAAAAGCTGGTTCTAATAGGAATTTCCTCTCTTCTTTCCTAATAAAGAGAACATCCAAGTAATTTGTTGCATTGTTCATGATTCACAGGAAACACAGGTGAAATTTCTCTGCCTTTCAATGGTTAATGGTCAGGTTTCCTGTAATCAGCTGGAGCTTGATACTCAGAATGTCTTTAAAATTAAATTAAAACTTAAGCATGCCAAGAGTTGGGAGTTATGACATAAGAGCTAAATCAACTATATATTTATAATTTTAATAAGTATATTGTAAAGTATAAGGAAGACATCCTATAGACCCAGTTTTTAGATTTTTCAGTTGCCATTTGAGTTTTGGATGAGAGACAGACTTTGCTTCAACTCGGTCTCCATGTCAAAAACTGGTAGTTGATTTAATCTAATTCATTTCATGTATTTGAGCCAAAATTAGTTCAACTGGCTGTACTTTTCAATTTGCTATGACATTATAAAAGATATAAATTATTCAACCTTTTCTTGATCAAAACAATACTATTTAATAATAAAATAACTAATACATATTGCTTATGAATAATTATATATGTACATATATTGAATTCTATTTGGTGATTTTTTTAAAAACCTATGCAAAGTATTGAAATTAGTGCATTGCAATTAGGTAATTTAAAGCTTAGCTGGGCTGGTAAATCTTATTTTTTGGGGGGGGCAGTGGTTCCCATAATTGAAATTCTGTATTTTGTCAACCAGTATAGCTTTGAATGTTTTACAATTTAACAGCTGACATTTTAAAATTCATGACAAATCACTGAAATGCGCTATAATCACTAAACCAACTACTACTGATTTCTTTTCCAGCAAATGACATTATGAGTCATCCAAACAGAAGTAAAAGAAAATATATAGGTAGGCAAAAAAAAAAAATAGACTCTTCCACAGAAACCACGGCCTAACTAAGCTGCTGTATTGACAAGGTGAGAAGGAAATTTCTGGTCCAAATCTTTCCCTTCTTGCTCTCAATCCCATGTCTTACCCTGCAATTATTTACCTTTGCATATTCAACAATATTCTGAAACTTTGCTTAATGTGGTTTTCTGTTGATGTTCAGAACATCAGTCTCAGATCCCACCCACAACAGCCTGGTAATGAAAGTACCTCTTCATCAGGTAGCTCTTCATGTGTGCTCATATGTGTTTTATCTCTAAAGAATGCTCCCTTGAGAAATTATTCCCAGCATTCGACGTCTGTATAAAAATTCTTTGGGCCTTTTAACTCTTTGACGTAAAACTCTTTGACTTTGAGCTTCCCCAAGCTCCTGCACAGCCCAGGGCTCATCTGAGACTACTCGGTGGATTAGTGCTCATTTTAGAGGCTGAGAAAGTGGCTCAGAGAAGCTGGAAAATTTCGGTCCCCACCCCACAAAACTTGAATACTTCTAAAATTACAGCTTGCTTCTGTCTTCTCACTGGCAGCCTTCCTCGGCCTGTAAGTCTCGGACAGCCCTGTCCAGGAGCTCCATGGACTCTCTGAGAGTGACATTGATTTTAAATGAGTTGGGTTTAATGGTCAGACCGTAACTAAAATCCATGTCTGCGGGCTCGTCTGGATTGGCCTTGAAAGTGCACTGGTGAGCCAGGATGGAAGCGAAGAGAAACAGCTGCACCTTGGAAAGCTCTTCCCCAATGCAGCGCCGTTTGCCCACGGAAAAAATCATCACACTGCTGGTCAGGTCCTTGTTGATGACGCCGTCCTCGTCCAAGAACCGGGCAGGATCGAAGTCCTCTGGGTTAGGCCATTTCACTGGGTCATGATTCACGGACCACTGGTTAATGAAAACCACTGTGTCCTTGGGAATGTGGTAGCCCAGAAGAGACGTGTTGGCAGTGGTGGCGTGAGGAATGGTGACCGGCACAAAGCTGGAGAAGCGCATGGCTTCGTAAAGAAAGGCCATAACGTAGGGCAGTCTGGGCTGGTCCTCCAGGCAGGGCAGACGGTCTCGGCCCACCACGCGATCCAATTCCGCCTGCACCCGAGCCAGCACGTCGGGGTACCTGTTTAGTTTTTAATGCAGAAGGAGAAAACGAGTGAGGAACATTTATTCTTCTTTCATTTAGAAAGCACATTACAATTTATTTTCATCCCACTTTCTTTATCTGCATCAGTGACTGAATTAACCTTTTCACACCACCCCCAAAATCTAAAACAATTCCTTAATTTCTCACTCAATCATAAGATTGGCCTAATAGTTACATTTCCTTTCATAAATAAGCCTGGCTAATGCTCTCTTTCCCGAGTCAAAAACTGTCAAAGTTTCATCAGCGGGAGAAGTACGATAACAGGCAAGGCCACCCTCTCCATTAGACAAAGCAGGCACCATGCTTAGGGCCTGCAACACTTTTCAGAGGCCTGTGAAAATGTCTTTTTTTTTTAAGTCAGAAGGAAAAAAATGAACTTTTAGATCAAAGAAAATGTTTTATATTATTTTAATGTATTTATCTTGATACCAATGCACTCATACAATATAATATATATTTTTTCTTTTTTATGGAGGCAGGCATCGATCGACCAAGACAAAAGCATCCAGGGCCCACAGAAGTTAAAATGCAAGTCTGAAAGCAGATCCTTTCCCCCCTCATCTCCCTCCTGTTCTCATTTATACAAGGATAATCTGTGTGCTGATAGGTAAAGCAACATATCTTCTAAATGAGAACGCAAATTCCCAGTGTTCATGAGATTATGAACCAATTTTAATACTTATTCACTGTTAGTGATATGAACTAGCACAATTCTTTTGGACAACAAAATCTTACTACCAAGCAAGACCCATGAGAGTAACCCCTCCCCAATCTTTTTAAACCTGGTAACCCATACCTAGCATGTATTTTCAGAAAATAACAGGTACAAAAATATATAACCACAACAGTGGCTGAAATTTTTAAAATGTGAGAGACATTAAAACTCAAGCAATGGCTATATATAATGGTATCTTATTATGGCAAAATATGACATAATCATCAAAAATTACTGAAGTGGACATGTTAGCAATCTATTAATAAAATGAAATAAAGTTTTAAAAAGATTACTAAGATAGAGTTTAAACATGGGGGGAAATGTCCATTACAATAAGTAGAAAGTCGGAAGTAAAAAAAAATGTAAATAATTATTGCAACCTTGAAAAAAGTTAAGCATGTATGTGAGGAAATCACGGGTGATTTAAAAAAACTACTTTGCTAGCACCGCACTTCAGGGATCTGCAAACTTTTGCATAAAGGGCCAAATAGTAAATATTTAGGTTGTGGAACAATGCTCTCCGCCTAGTTACTCACCTCTGCCTTGTGCTGTCGTGTGAAAGCAGCCATAGACAGCACGTAAAAGCATTTTATGTATTTTGATAAAACATACACACCCGTACAGAAATGGTTAGTGTGATGTGCCAACCGATCATCACGTCTTTTCACCAAAAAGAAGAAAAACGTACTCATCGGCTGTATTGAACTGCAAGTGACCCCAGAGTTGTTTTACTTCCTTTCTCTGCCCAATCTCTTTCTCAGGAAAAAGAAAGTCTGTTTCAAAAGATAGCATATTTCTCTGAGGATGCGAAGGACCTACGTGGGATGCCTTCTTTCTGACCTATTACTGACTTCTCTTTCTTGGCTTTCTATGCCCCCCCATAGGTGTTTCTATGGTAATAATACTGAGAAGCGATTTCAAATATACAAAAAATTCAGCGTGTGAAAGTAGCCATACAATAGTAGTACCTAAGGGTTGCAGTCTTGCCGTGGATTCTAATAAGAAGCTGTTTTTGTCTTTCAATATCAGAGGCGCCAGCAGATTCGGCATTTCCCACCGCTAACTTGTGCGCCAAGAAATGTCACAATCAGGATTTCTGGTCAAGATTTGCCACAAGCAACACATCTACCCCGAGGGTAGCTGCCAGACAAAATACAAGCCTCCAGTGAAATGTGAAGTTAAGCTAAACTTGGCCTAATCTTTTAGGCTTTGAGGACGAGTATCTCCTCTGTGAAATTTATTTGTTAAATCGGCAGCAAGCGATACTGGGAACTTGTTTGCGTCCTATACTCACAGAGCTTCATTTAGGTCCACGACCTTAATCGAGATGGGCACTGTGGACCAGCTAACCAAGCGCGCGGGTCCCAGGGGCCAGAGAGGTCCACAGAGGCCCTCGGTTTGTCTGTCTGGATGCTGTCCTGGGCTCCATAAAAGTGACTGCTTCTCCAGTTCTTTCCCCGTAAGACCCTTCTCTTACTCCTAGAGCGACGGCTTTACAATATCCAGCACAGCAGCCCCTCCTAAAACTTCCACGCACGACGTTAACCATGCCCGGGGCCCAGCCCGAGGGCCTCCGGACTGGCCTCTGCGCTCTTCCTTCACTCAGGATTAAGTTCGGAGGAGCCGCTGGCTTTTCGCGCCAGAACTAGGAGGCCTCCAATCGGCGCGGATGACCGGCAGAGCCGATTAGGCTGCTGGGTTTATTTAACGTATTTACTGCATTACCCGTTCTTTCGGAATCATTCCAATGATGCTTCTCCTGTGCCAGGGAAGAGGAGATCTGGACTGATCTGCGGGCACCTAAATCACCTCCCACCCAGGGGTTTCTCACAAACGTGTCCCCATTAGGAGGGACAACCGAAAGATCGGAGAAGCCGAGAGGGCCCGCTCCGGCTGGGTGGGCTGTGCGGGCGCACGTGTCTCCTCCCTAGTCTTGCCTTCCTAAATTGCGGTTTGCGGGCGCACTGCATCATTGAAAGGTGGGTTCCGGGAGCGAAACTGCCACACCTCCCCGCGCCTGCTGGCGACCTCAGCCTTTTGCGGTCCCACCCCACCCTTCACAGGAGGAAAAGAAGGATAACCCACGCCTCCCCGAGGGTTTACCTGATGAAAAGGATGAGCAGCCACTGCAGCGCGGTGGAGAGAGTGTCTTGGCTGGCGCCGAAGATGTCGGTGACAGTAGACGGTACGTAGTCCATTTCCAGCCGCGCGCTGCTGTCGCCCGACTTCTCAGCCGCTTCCTTTTCTACCGAGAGGATGCAGGCGTCCATCACGTCACGGGGGTCGGCTCCCGGACGAAAACTTTCTCGGTGCCTCAGGAACTTGTCCATGATAAAGTTGCTGAAGTTGCGGTTAAGCTGCTTGAATTCTCGGAAGGCGGTGCGTACAGGGTTAGGGAAGCGCTGCAGCCAGGGCAGCACGTCTACGAGGCTGCCCGCGCCCACTGTGCGCCCGAACTGCTCGTTGTGGCTGAGCAGCTCGCGGAACTCGGTGTCCTCGTGGCTGTAGCGACAGCCGAAGCACGCGGCGCATATGACATTGGCCACCGCCACCAGGGTCAGCGGCCGCGGGTCCAGAAAGGCGCCTCCTGCGCTGCCGCGCACCAGCAGCTCCACCAACTCGCGCGCCTCGCCCAGCACGTGGCCCTCAAGGACGCGGCGGCTGCGGAGCCGGTGCGAAAGGAAGGCGCGCATAGCGCTGTGCGCCAAGCGCCGCTGTGCCTTCCAGCGCTCCGAGTACTGGCCGAAAGCCAAGCTGCGCCCGCCGGACACCACGCGGAAAGAAGTGAAGGACGGGCGGTCGGCGAAGGTAGCGCCCTGCTGTACCAAGGCCTGGCGGATGGCGCGCTCGCCGTTCAGCACCACCACTGGGCAGCTGCCCAGGTGGATTTGGAAGACGTCACCATAGCGCTTCGCTAGGCGCGCGAATGAGAGGTGCGGTGCAGGGCCCATTGCTGCGGCGTTTCCGATCAGCGGCCACGCAAAGGGACCCGGGGGCGAGGACCCTGGCTGCTGCCGCCGTTGCCTCAGCAGCCACTGGCCCACGTGGACAGCGGCCAGCACCGAGAAGAGCAGCAGTAGCGTGGTCTGTTGGGTGGACAGCGTGATCGGCAGCAGAGGATCTTCGAGGCTGAGCCCTGTGGCCATGCTGAAAAGAGAAGGGCAAAAGCGTGACACTCAGGTGTGCGGAGAAAGGAGCGGACGCCCCATGCTTCCACCTTCGGCCTCGGGCTACCACCATTTGCTGTTGGGCAGGGAGGTCGTGGGTAGGTTAGGTCAGAGCTGCCTCAATGGAGAAGCATCTGGAGACGTCTTTTCCCATTCCAAACCCACTCTCCAAAGGCAAAGGGAGGGAGCTTGTTTCCGCTTCTCTGTGGCTCACCCTCCCCTTGCCCCAGCAGCCGGGTAACGGTTCCTGCAATTCGGGGACAACACGGCGGGCATCAAGGCGGTGGAGCTCAGTTCCCTCTAAGTGCTTATCACCCCTGCCCCTGCATCCCACCCCACCCCCGATCTGCAAGAACCCAACCGAAGAAGCCGCAGGAAGGTGACGCTGCCGGCAGACTGACCTGCTAAGAGGCACCGTTTCCAGCGGCGAGGGACAGCTGGCTCCGAGAAGAGACAGGGCTTTTGTGCAAGGCAAGAGGTCAACCTGAGTGCTTCAAAAAACGCCGGACGCCCGCCCCGCCTGCCAGTTCTTGGGAGCCTTAGCATGCACTCTGGAGTGAGGCGACGTTGTCTGAGCTAGGGGCGCTTGGCTTGGGGTGAGGATGGAGAAAGGTGACTTCTCTGCGCAGCACCGCTGCACGTGAAACCCCAGCAAAGTCGGGGTTGTTTAACAGCGTAGGGATTTAGGTGGGGGATGGATGAATGGAGTCAATACCTAGCTCTCACACCCCTCTCGCAGTACTGACAGCTGGAGTGGCAGAGGCGTGGTCCATTTGCACACAGCCACTCCAGAGTCAAAACGCGTTTTTAAAGTCTGTGCGGAGGGAGGAGGCAGCTGGACCTGGAGGGGCGGGGTGCACCAGGGGGCGGGGCGCGCGGAGACTGTCCACAAGGCTTGGGCAGCTGCACGCAAGTGGTCACGTGAGACAGCTCCGGTGCGCCTGGACGGCCTTGGCAAAGTAGCTAGTGATTTTACTAATAGAGGCTGTTTGAACTTTTTGTCTACCCGAAAAACGCTCTTAATTACAGTCAACTCCAATCTTGGATGCATGGTTTCCCTGGAAGCGTGCTCTAAACAGAAGTTGCCCATCCCGCTGCGCTCTCTGTGAGAGCGTGCCCCCAAAGTCCCGTCCATCCCTGTGACTTTAACTTAGGTCCACATGAGAACATCGCTCAGGATCCTTCGGTGCCCTCGCCCGGAAAGGAAACCTGTCAGTTTGGAAATGAGGAAAGGTCGGTTTGTGGTGGTGATTTGCCTGACAGCCTCCCTAGTTATTTTATCTTAACGTTCTCGTAAACAAATGGCCCTCACATGAGGTCCTTTTGCGTGCAAAGTTCTCCTAGCGCAGCGATAAAAGAGTCCCTGAAAGACGCCGCTCCCCTGCCCTGGGCCACAACTTGTCCTTGGCACACAAAGGCCAGCACTGGCGTCGCGCAGCTGGCCTTGAGATTCCCGCGAACAAACTCCTCCAGGTGGCGCCGCCCACTGGAAGGCGCAGGGCCCCGCTGGCCGTCATCAGAGGCCCCAAGGGGCTCTGGGCCCAGAGCCAAGCTGGGGCAAACACTGGGGACAGGAGGGTGGGTCGCTCCGATTCCCGGAGAGAGATGGGTAAAGAGGAGGGGGAGGCGACTCACTGCAACTGAGAACTCTATGGGGTTGAAAAGTTCTTTTACTGTCACCTCCCCTTTGCGTGCGGAGCTGTGCCTTGCGTGCATCGCTTCTGCAAAGTAGGCTTCAGTCATATCCCTCGGCGCTTCTCACGGCACCTGACACGCAGGGGCGGCGCCGGGGGTGGTGGCTAAGGGCTGGGTGCTGGCTGCCACCACCCTCCGTAGTGCACGCACAGCCGCGCCCTCCGGCCCAGCGAGGGCAGACCTTCAGGCCACCACCCGCAGGCCAGACCTGGAAGCGCGCGCGGGCTGGAGATCCGGATGTGTCTTTCAAAGGGGAAGCTGGAGGCGTCTGGGTCTGCGCTGGTCTCTGGCGGGCTGCACCCATTCCTACTGGCTGGTACAAAGTATTCGCAAGAGAAAAGGTCTTGACAACAAGGATGGAGAAAGGGGAAGCCCGTGGGAAGCGTGGGATGTGTCTTAGTTAATCAGGTAGGAATTGTACTCTGGCCCTCAGGGTTCATCATGCATAAATAAAAAAGTTGTGCACTTACCATGTGACAACCCTATGCTTTGAACTTTACTTTAGCTGCTAATTTCTGTTTCCCGTTTGCAGAGGAGGGAACTGGGGTTCAGAGAAATTATATGACTTACTCAAGACAGCACAGCTATCAACCAAGAGGTGGAGCCAGGATCTGAACCCACAAAGTCTCATTCCAGATCCATCATAACAAGTTTATGTGGAAGAAAATCCTCAGACAAAAGGCACAAATGCCATTCTGCTCTCCCTGTCTCCATGCCTTAAAAAAAATCAGCTGGGAGACTTTTTAGAATTTTTATTTTTTAAGTACAGCTGACATACAATATTATATTAGTTTCAAATGTACAATATAATGATTAGATATTTGTACCATAGGAAATAATCACCCTGGAAGAACAATTTTTTGATAGTTGTTTTTGCATGCAGAATTGAAGATTGTGATTATCAGACGAAAGAAATATTATGCTCACTGTGCTTCAATTGGTTTTTGCATGAGGGAGGCCTATGGGCTGTGCCTCCGCTGATATTGGGATCTGGTTAAATTTTGAAAAAAAATAAAGGGATGTCTGAAAAAGGGTCTGACTTCTTGAGAGTCTGAAATGAATGATAATGTATCTGACCTGATAAGAAAATGCCTTTTTGTAAAAGTCTTCATTTGGTCATTTTTGAGATGTTCTCTAGAAATAATTTCACACACCATGACAGCATGCTCACATCCATGGCGAAGTTCGTTTTTAAACAACTGGTGAAATCAGCATTACTTTCCCAGAGCTGTGTTCACCTACATATTCTTTGAAATGAGTTTTGTAACAACCTTACAATGTCCAGCTTCAGCAAGACCCTTCCTAATAATTCAAGACTTCTGCATGCATCCATTTCTCACTAGACTTTAATTTGGTGGACAGGAGTTATCTGTGGGCTAATGCCACTTTTGAGTTATCAATATTCCTGAAAGCCTTTACCCCTGTGTCTCCTCCAGCATCAGAGTGGATGGTGGTCACCTTTAAACCATGTAAACTCCTATCTTTAAAAGTATAAAGCAAGGCTGCTCCTAAGGCCTCTTTTTTAATTCCTGGATAATGTCATACAGTTTTTAGATAAGCTCAGTGCATGCCTTCCTGCCACAGCAAATAGTTCAAGCATGTCCCCTAAGCTCTGGTGGTGCCTTGAGCTTAGCTCTAGCTCTAGGACGTGACTTAAAAAGGGAGAGGAACCAACTGAGCAAACACCATCAAGAAGATGAGCCCTTATCAATTATAAGAAACCAAAATGAGTGCCTATGGTAATGCCTTTTTCAGAATCTGCAGGTCTCAGGTTCTCCCAGGCTTTGTGTGGAGACATCTGTTGCAGGGTCCATCTGGTACCTGATGAAGATACAAGGTAAATCTAAAGTGGTCTGTGGGTACCCGTGATCCAGCTCCATAAGATGGGTCTCCTCCCTCTAGTGAGAATTCACACCAAGCTCTTTAATTATCATCACAACTTCTCAACCAAAGTCCATATCTAAGGTATCAGAGATCTCCTTTCGAGCAGCAGCATAGAATATGGGGATGTCACCCACCCAAATTTGAAACTTGAATTGTTTGCTGCAAATAACTTTCAAAAGAAATAGCTAAGCTAGAGAGACTTCAAGGTAGAGGTTTAAAATACTTTGTATTGTATTGATTCCCAAGAACAGACACTCAGCTTAAGCTTATTTAAGCAGGACAGGAAATGCACTGGCTCATGTGCTGGGAATGATAACCTTGGTACCTCACAGGGCTGCTCTCTCTGACCTTAATCTGTGTCAGCCTCTGCTTGGGCTTTGTTCTGCAAACTCCACATGGCAAGAGAGCCGACCATGGGCAGCATCAAATGAACTGGCTCAAGAAAAACAGAACATCTTTCTTCCAAAGTCATTACACAGGTCCCTGGAAGGACTCTGACACGCCAGGCTGCATCAGGCCTCTTCTGTGGCCAAGGGGCAAGGACTATCAGAAAAAGATGGACAGGATGGGGTGGAACATATTAGGAAGCCAAGGCAATGGCTCTGTCCACGCACACTTATCCCACTTCTGTTCATCGTTCTGTTTTGAATTGGAGTATAGCCCAAACCTAGTATTATTTTTATTAGTTTAAATCAGCAAGTGAGATAGATGCATTGCTCCTGGAGTCAATAGCCAAGAAAGCTCAGCTCTTGTGTCATCATGCTAGAAGTTGGGGTTTGTCCTGGGCTTTCTCTCTAAAATAATCTCTGTGTTGATTTTATGGGTAAACATCGCTCTTCCTATCTCCTCCAAACACACATGTGCACGTGCCCTGAGACGACAGCGCGGAAGCATGATCTCTGCCAAGTCCTTGACGTGTGAAGTGCACAGGAATCAGTAATCAGACACGTGGTGGTAGACAGGAAAAACAGGACTAGGAAGACACACCAAGTATCCAAGGTGACTGAGCGTATGACAGAAGGAGGAGCAATAGCATCCTGCACATCACGTGCTGGGGACTGAGAGGATTTGTAAGAGCAAGTACCAAAACCCTGTGCCCCACCTGCTGCTTCCTTCCTGCTAGTAACAGGCTGAGAACCATAGAACTAAAAGTGGATCTTACTTCATCTAATCTAAGAAGCCATCCTTTGTTGGATACACCATTATTTTATGTACTAATTAATATAAAATAGGGGGCTGCCAGCTGCAATTATGCCACTGATGCTATGACACAGTCTGCTTTCAAAGATGTTAAGGTATTGGTTTAAGTGTGTTTTAGAACGAAGCACCACGCATGCGGGAAAAGACCCTGTGCCTTTGCAGTCAGCAATGGTGTCCCAGAGGTTTCACAGATGGGGCAATTGGGGTCAGAAGTGTCACCTCCTAAGCCATCATCCCTTCAATTAATACTGTTTGATATGGACAGTATTACCTGATGTTTTTCCAATCTCATATAAAGTGTAGGTAGCAGCTGCTTTGGAATATTTTGCTAGTTTTATCAACCAAACTAAATGTAAGAAAAAGACAGTCACTTGCTAAATCAGTGCAGTTTAAGACAAGTTTCTTAGAGCTCCTCCCCTTCCAGCTGGATTGCCCCACTAAGCTCTTTCCATGTGGTCTGGTGTTTGTGAAAGCCACAGAGTGACACTGTATTATTCTAATAGCCCGCCAAATGCTTTCATACATATTTAGAAGTGAATGGGCATTAATGCCTGCAACTTACTCTCAAGCATTTCAAGAAAAAAAGGCAGAGAGAGAAGAAGAAATGAAGGAGAGGAAAATGATAAAGCATACATTATAAAATGTTCATAACTGGAGAATTTAGGTAAAACAGAGTTCTTCAAGATATTCTTGCAACTTGTCTGTAGGTTTGAAATCACATCAAGGTGAAAAGTTACTCAAAATAAAAAATAAGAGCATAAGAGAGAAACAGTTTCATAACATTATGCTCTCACATTGTCCTCTCAGCTTTTGTGAAGAGAACCTGAAATTGATAGAGCATTTAATGTCCTTCCTGTGCGTCATTGTTCCCTGAGTTCAGGGCTAAGAAAAAGTTTGTATTCAACTGCAGTGTTTTTCCCCAGCGCGATCTGATAGGCCCTTTACCTTCTTGGCTGCCCTTGCTTCCTGAATGATTTGAATGTATCTCTGCCTTTTATTGTAAGCTGCCTTC